AAACAAACTTTTTTTTGAAGAGTCTACGATCTTCAACAGGCAAATAGATCTAGTTATAAAGCATGCCCCAGCACATTTTCTATAGACCAGAACTATACAGCTAAATGAAAAGTCATCTTCCTGACAATCCACAGATATATGTGCCCGTAAGATTGAGTTGTAATCATGAGATTACATATACACGTCACATGAGATTGCACACTACAATGCAGGTATTAGGGGGACACCAGGCTGCTTTAGCAAAAGTGAGCAACAGTTTCCAGAGTTGATGGTCCTGCAGGCCTTGCCTGGACAGGATTAACCTCCATCAGAATCACTCCTCTGGTGGGTTGACATCTGAAATCAGTTGCCATATGCTGTACATTTCCATGGTGTCTGACAGTAGTATTATATTGGTATTCTTTTACTGTGCTCTGGGACCATAAAAAGACAGATGCATGTGTCTTAAAGTAGTATAAGGCACACAAACAAAAAACACAGTGGTGTAGATAAATGACCCAGACCTAATGGGTATGTTCATAATTTTCTGTTTCTTCTATGCTAATTAGTTCACCTGTTTACTTTTCCCATTTCTTTGTTGGTATTAAACATTCCCTTCTCTAGACTTTCAACTAGCTACAGGGTTGAGGGTTTTGTTTTGTTTTAAACTTATTTTTAAATTTAATGTTATTTTTTTGAAATAGGATCATGAGTAGCCCAGACTGGCCTCAGACTTGATGTGTAGCCAAGGATGACCTTGGATTTCTGATCCTCCTGCTGAGAATCAAGCCCAGGGTAGCTTTATGCATGTTAGGCAAGCGCTCTGCCATTTGAGTCAAATACCCTGCCCTTGAGAGTAATTTTTAGAAAAGTTTTTTTTCATTTCCCTTAAAAATATGTTAACTGGTTGTTTTGCTGTAATATAATCAAGCCTGTCAGTTCACTTTATAATCATTGATTTCTGGACCTAGTAAGATGGCTCAGTAGATAAAGATGCTAGCTACTAAGCTCAACACCCTGAGTTTGGTCCTTTGAATCCATCTGATAGGAGAGAACTGATTGCCACATATTGTCCTCTGACTGCTGTGACAAATGAATAACCTCACATACACACAAAATGTAACTTTAAATTTTTTAAAATTGGTTTTTGTTAGTACTTTACTGATTCATTCTTTCTGTTGCCTTTAGTTTATTTGCCTTCCTGAGTTGTCTATTTTATATCTTGATTGTTCGAAATAATTACACTATAAATTTATCTTTGAGCACTAGCTTAGCTGAACCTCAATATGTTTTATTTTAGTGCTTTATACTATTTCCTAGTCTTGCAATTTTGGTAATTAAGGCAGTTTTATTTACTAGCTTTGTCATTTATAATGATGATGTTTTTGACCCAGAAAATTTGTTGTTTATATAGTTGTTTATATTTATACAGTTTATAACTTATCAAATGATTTCTTTGGTTTTTTTGAGACAGGGTTTCTCTGTGTAACAGTCCTAATTGTCCTGGAATTAGCTCTGTAGACTAGGCTGGCTTTAAACTCACAGAGATCTTCCTGTCTCTGCTCCCAAGTGCTGGCAGTGAAGGCATGCACCACCACCATCCAGTGAGGCTTTACCTTTAAACAAATGAACTTAACTCTTTCATATTTGTGGTGATTATACATATTATGAGGGCTTGTTCTTTGTATTTTAAGCATTTTATATTAATCACAATTTTGAAATTTTTATTTTATTTTCATGTCTTTTGAACATGTTTTTAGTTTTTTTCCCCCTTCTGTCTAATGGTTTGGGTTCTTACTGACATAATTAAGTATTTAAATATATATGTACAACAGCCAGAATTACCCACTACTGATTACCTATACCCTTTAAATTCATTTATTAGCTTTATTTTTTTGAGATTTAAAATTTTTTAAATCTAATATGTGTGGTATATCTATACACCATATGCATGTCTGATCTCTACAGGGGTCAGAAGAGAACATCCTGTTTTCTGGGCCTTACAGACAATTATGAGTTGCCATGTGGGTGCTGGGAATTGAACCTAGATCCTTTGGTAGAACAGTTAGTGCTCTTAACCACTCCAGTCCTGTGTTTTGATTTTCAGTAATATAATTGATATTAATAAACCCTCTATTCTAGGATCAACAGCTTACTTTACTAACTTAAGTTCACAGTCAGTTGTCAGATAGCATGTTGAATCCAGTATTAAGCACATTAAAAAAAACAAACAGACAAAACAGGCTTTTTTTTTTTAATGTTGCCTATAATTTCTAGTTACATTTGTTTTATCTTCCTTTCATTTTGGAGGCACTTTAAGTATTCTAATACTTTGTACTCTGTGTGTGTGTGTGTGTGTGTGTGTGTGTGTGTTAATGCATAGAGATCAGATGACATCTTGTGGGAGTCTTTTTTTTTTTTTTTAACCATGTGTGTTGTCAAACTTACTGAGCATAGGTTGTCAAACTTAGTGGCAAGCTTTTTTACTTCCTGGGCCACCTTGACAGCCATAAAATATATTTCAAATCACTAATCCTTCCATATTATTGTAAGATGCACAAAGGAATATATGTCATTATTACCTATTGAGACCATTATGTTAAGAGAAAAAAATTAAGACATAAATTAGATCAACAAAATACTTGGCCCAAATTATTAAAAGACTTGTTAGTAAGCATAAAAAATAAAAAGGATGGACCTGGAGAGATGGCTCAATAGTTAAGAGCATGCACATATTGCTCATACATACATATAGGCAAACACTTAAACATATAAAAATAAATATTCTTTTTGAAGACTGAAAATGATGGGGCCAATGAAATGGTTTGTGGCCAAACCTGACAAAACCTAAGTTTGGTCCCCAGGATCTACGTAGTGGAAAGTGGGACCTGACCCTGAAAGTTGTCCTCTGACCCAATAAGTTCTTGTGTTCTCTCTCTCTCTCTCTCTCTCTCTCTCTCTCTCTCTCTCTCACACACACACACACACACACACACACACACACACACACTCTGTCCTAGTCAGGGATACTACTCAGTGATACTACTGCTGTGATGAAACACTATGACCAAAAGCAGCTTGGGGAGGAAAGGGTTTATTTCGAGGCAGGAGGTGATGTATAGGTGCCGTGGAGTTGGGCTGCTTACTGGCTTGCTCCTCATGTCTGTTCAGCCTGCTTTCTCATAAAACCTAGGACCACCTGCCCTAGCCATACCTATAATGTGTAGCCCCTCTCCCATCGGTCACTAAGAAAATGCCCCAAAGCCTTGCCTTTAACTAAATCTTATGGAGGAGACATTTTCTCAATGAGGCTCCCTCTGCTTTGATGACTAGCTTGTGCCACGTTGACATATACTAAATAAATAAAATGATGATGATGATGGATGAAAGAGTTCCAAACAATAGAGAGAATATTTGTTAGTTTTTCATTGTAATTTCTCTTGGACTACAGTTTGCTTGAGTCCTGTAAAAAATAAAGTCACCTTGGAAAAAAAGGAAGACATGGTTTTATATTAGAAAATGTTAATGTGAGAGAGAGTCAATCAAACTCAGCAAGTCTTTACAGAAGGGAAATTAGTTTGGATTGCTGAACTAAAGGCAGCCCTGGAACTGATGGTGCAGAAGGAAGCTGGGTTGAATACTCTAACAACACAGAGAGCAAAGCCTCAGTCACAGCATCTTTACAGTAGAAACACTTGACAATAGCTCTTGTGAAGGCCACAACAATAGCATCTATTGAATGGTTACAGTTTGCTGGGTGATTGGCTTAGGCCATCCCTGCTTTATAGAATTTGTTTATAGAATAGAAACAAATGAGATTTCTAAGTTGGGCTAAGGGTGTTTTATTTAAGCCTTTACCAGAATTTTCTCAAGTGTCCTCACCAGAGTTTTATTTTGTTCTATAGTGGGATTGAACCATTGCAGGTATATAGAATGGTGTGCCAGCTGTCTTAGGGTTTCCATTGTTGTGAAGAGACACCATGACCACAGCAACTCTTATAAAGGAAAATGTTTCATTTTGGTGGCCCGCTTAGGTTTAGACGTTTAGTCCATTGGTGGGACATGACAGTGTGCAGGCAGACATGTGTTGAAAAGGTAGCTGAGAGTTCTACATCTTGATCAGCAGGCAACAGGAAGTGGTCTGTCTCACTAGGTACATGAAACCTCAAAGCCCTCCTCCACAATAACACATTTCCTCTAACATATTTCCATATATACTCCAACAAGGCCATACCTCTTAATAGTTCCACTCTCTTTGGACACTATTTTGGACCTTTTCTTTCAAACTACCACACCACCATTACAGAATAGCCAGTACTTAAACAGGCATATGTCCTGTGCTTTGTAATGACTAAAGCCGTTTGATACTGGAATGTCTTACAGCAGGTTCATTGAGGCTGAAGTTGAAGCCTAAGTCCAGATACCATGCCAATTGTGGTTTAGAGAATGAGGTCTATTTTTGCAGCTTTAAGGTGCTTCCATTAGTTTATTTACAGATATTCGTGCTGAACAGTTAGAATCACCTATCACTTTCCAGTCAATCATGCACCACACAAGTATTTTCTTAGATTTGTCTAAGGTGCTGTCCAGGTCATTCCTCACTCTTGAAAGCTGCACAGGTTCCATCCTGTCTCCTGCATTTGCATCCTGTTCTGAACTTGTTCTTTGCTTAGATATATTCACCAGTGGAAAATTCATAATTTTGCCCTTTATATGGAAATAAAGCCTTTTCCACCTGTATCTTCTAAATACTTAAAGTAGTGACCAAGTACAACATGACTATATCCACTTGTAACCCCAGCACAAGAATGTGCACCCTTGTGGATACTTGAGTAGCTTGTCAGGAGAAGTAAAGTTTGACTCTAGGCAGTGGCATCTCTTCAGAAATTTGAGCCTCTGAATGAGGCTGTTGTGACGCTTAAAGCTTCTGTTCGGGTTGTTTTCATAGTGCCTTTGAGTTTGAGGGTAAGGTGTACTTCACTGGCTAATCTTTTCCACCTCTGTTCTTTTGTTGGAATTAGTGCCAGAACAGATAAAGCCCAGTGTAAGCCAGCCTCAGCCTGCCAACTCTGATAACGGCACTTCCACAGCAACCAGCACTAATAATAATGCCAAGCGAGCTACAGCCAGCAATCAGCAGCCGCCGCCGCAGCAGCAACAGCAGCAGCAGCAGCAGCAGCAAGAGCAGCAACAGCAGCCACAGGCCTTGCCTCGGTATCCTCGTGAAGTACCTCCACGATTTCGCCACCAGGAACACAAACAGCTTCTAAAGAGGGGTCAGCATTTTCCTGTCATAGCAGCAAACCTGGGATCTGCTGTTAAGGTGTTAAACAACCAATCAGAAAGCAGTGCTGTAACAAATCAACAGCCACCAAATAACGGAGAGGTGCAGAACAGCAAAACCCAGTCAGGTGAGAAAAGACCTTTCCTATAGGACTCATTTTTGGTAGTGTAGTAACGTTTATAATCTCTGATTTTTTTTGGTGATATGTTTTGTATGGCAAGAACTCAAGAGCTGGGCTTTAAGAATCCTGAATAGGCCACTTGAGTGGAGAATTCTTTACTGCCAGTTACATACTTACCTTACTTAGAAAGTGAATATTGTGATTGTTTTCATCTTCTCTCAGGTCCCATATTTATTAAGTTTGTAGTTAAAAGTGAGCCCTCCCCACTCCTTGTGCTATGCGGTTATGTACATTTCCTCTTCTGCAGCCCTCCACAGGGTAGCTCTCATCATTATCACTGACCATCCCTGGTGACTATCAGTTGCTGCCTGGATGTTCTTTTATGTATGCCAAGCATTGCTCTGTGTTAAAATATATTGCCCTACTTCACAGCTAGTAAATAGTACATTTTGGACTCAAAGTTCTGTCTGATTCCAGAGCTATGCTCATAACCACCATGGTGCTCTTTGGCAATACATTACTTGTGATAGGAAAGGAAAAGGAAGACATTTCTAATCCATGTCTCTAGAGCTGCACATTATGAGAAGGACACACATAGTTATCATGATTAAAACTACTCCCTGTTCCCCCAAACCACTTACTACCTGTGTCAGATTGATCAAAAAGCTAATTCATGGGATCTTATGGAAGCATTTTCTCCATTGAGGTTCCCTCATTTCAGATAACTCCAAAACAAGATTAGTTAGCTTACTCTTACATTTATAGAAAGACCTTCACTTTCCAAAACAATTTAACATTGTATATAATCCAGGTTGTAGATAATTAAGAAGTTGAGGGGGCTGGAGAGATATCTTAGATGGTAACAGCACTGACTTATCTTCCAGAGGTCCTGAGTTCAATTCCCAGAAACCACATGGTGTCTCACAATCATCTGTAATGAAATCTTGTGCCCTTTTCTGGCATGGAGGTGTATAGGCAAGAGGAATATTGTAGACATAATAAATAAATCTTTTTTTTTTTTCAGGGTGAGGTTGAATGTTTATTCAGGGGGTTATGGAGGAGGATGGGTGAAGGGGGGCAGAGAGAGGGAGAGAGAGAGAGGGAGAGAGAGAGAAGAGGAGAAAGAGACAGAGAAGGGGGGAAGCAGAGAAGTGGGAAGAGAGGCAGAAGCGAAGCTGCCTCTCTGAGAGGAAGATGGAAAAGACAATAAATAAATCTTTATAAAAAGAAGTTGAATTTTATTTGGGAAGCCAGATTAAAAGAAAATGTATTCTTCATTGACATAAGCAATCTGTTACTAAGATCTTAGGAGAGTGTTCCTTATCCATGAAATGCCTGAGTCCCTGCTGTGAGCCAGGTAGGGTGGTATATGATAAACGGGCAGTGAAGGGACGTATATTTAGAAAAGTTTAGGTATGCCTCTTCCTTTTGGGAAAGGGAAGAATAAAGCTATTTTAAAAATGGAAACAATGGTAGTATAAGAGTTGTGTATCTCAATAAGTGTGGGGCTGGAAGGATGTTCACTCAGTAAAGTGCTTACTGTGCAAGCATAAGGACCAAGTTCAGATTTTTCAGCATCCCTATTTTAAAAAAACCAAATAGAGTGATACACATTTGTAATCCCAGCACAGGGAAGACATGGTAAGGGAGGATCCTTGGGACTTGCTGGCAAGCTAATCTAGCCAAATTGGCCATGTCCAGGTTCTGTGACAAACCTTGTGTGGAAAAATAAGATTGGAGACACCTAGCATTGGGTTCTGTCCTCCACATGCACACGTGCCAACATGTACACATACACAAAATGAGTATGGGTCAAAAGAGTCAAGTTTTGTAGATGCTCATTCTGATGAGAAGTTACCATGTGTGAGCATAGGAAGAAAAAGCCTCCAAAGAAATCAATGAAGAAGTCCGTGCTGCCTCCCCATCCCTACCTGCTTTTAGGAGGTACAGGCAGGGCTGGAGAGATGGTTCAGTAGGTCTGAGTTCAGTTCCCAGAACCCACATGGCATCTCATAGTTGCCTTATGCCCTCTTCTGGTATGCAGATGTTCATGCAGGCAAAGTACCATATACATAAAATGCATAAATAAATAAATTCTTTTAATAAAGAGCTTGGCAAGCAGCTATACATTTATTTGGAGGCATTAAATCCCGAAGCCATTAGGTAAGGAAGACTGAAACTTAAACACTCCAGAGAATAAAATTGGCACATTTGTCTTTAAAGGTTTATTTAAATTTTTTTAAATATATCTGTACATGTGCTCCTGCATGAGTACATATGTACTATGTGTGCAGGAGCCCACAGAGGCCAGAAGAGGGCATCATATCTCCTGAAACTTGAGATCAAGGCAGCTGTAAACCCCTTGTAGGTACTAGGAACTGAGCCTGGATCCCCTGCAAGAGCATTAAGTGCTCTTAACCACTGAGCCAGCTTTCTAGCCCTGGTACTTTTTGTCTTTAAAAGATATTTCTAACTCTCCTCTTGCAAGTGTATTTCATGTACTTACATTAATCGATCACTGTGTATTCTGTTTGTAGTGGTAGCTGAAACTTTAGCTATAAAACAGACCATGAGAAGTCAGTGAGCCAGAAAAGGTTCCTTGTAAGAATCAGATCTTACAGAGCTAATGGCAATGAGTGTGTCGATCGCAGGACTGCTCTTCACAGGGTGTGTGTCATGACTGTGTACAAGTGAGGTGCATATATTCTTTTTTCACACATCAGATAGTACCATATTTGTTCTACACATTAGGAAGCAGCCAACTAGTGATGGCAGTGTAAGTTACATGCTCAGACACTCAGAGACACTTTAATTGTGTAGATGATACAGAATTCAGAATTGCTTGTATTTAGCCTTTTTAGATTAGGAGTAGATTTGGCATGATGCAATACATAGAAATCAAATTCAAATTTTCATGGTCAAGAGGAAAAAGATGCCTCTCTTGTCCTAGTATATTCTGTGCAAAGAGTAAAATGAATACTTAGATGAGATGCAAAACCACCCTCAGGCTAGCAGGTAAGGGATATAAATAGTGGGTTCTCTTCTCAAGCAGCTCTGCACTTCATTTTTGTTAGGACCTTGTGCAATGCTAAGCCCTGACCTGTCATTATCTGATATAGTCTCCAACAGTGTGATTGATGGGGGATATCAAGATGGTTCATTAGGTAAAAACACTGGCTCTGCAAAGCCTAATGACCCGAGTTCAATCTTAAGAACCCTGTGAAGTTATTAGGAGAGAACTGACACCACAGAGTTGTCTTCTGACCTATAGCACACAGGTACTCACACTTACATAATGCACACAGTAGGAACAGTAAACACAGTCTCAGATTACCTCTTTGCACTTGACTCATAGCCTGCTCTTGCTCAATTAGCCTGAGTTAGAAGACTCTAGTGGTGGTAATATCACTCAGCAGCCCGGACAGAATAGTGTTTTTATGGCCAGAATGCTATAATCTCTCCTTCTCTTCTATATGGCATAATCCATGTGGTACAGTTACAAAGACTAGAACAGTTTATGTCCATCGTCTCTAGCCCAAGGGCTGGCACCACTCTTAGTTGACTCACTGTGTTTTGTTTTTTCTGTCACACACAGCACACATACATTATGGTTAAACCTTTTGAAGGTGAAATGGTGAACCTCATGGCACTTCCTCTTTAGTGCCCTGACACTAGGGGTAGTCTCTTCTCCAGCTTTGACACTGTTGTTTATATCTCCTGTCCACAGGACTACTAACAATTCATCAGTGTCTTCTAATAGTTGTTCACATTCCTGCTCGGCATTTCAAGGTAGCTTTGTTTGTTCATGGTATGAAATATAAAAAAGCATGTAAGATAGTACCATATTGTTTATGGATAAATTCAAATATAAAATGTAAAGGTTTTATTTGTCTATTGGCAAAATAGACATGTAGAGAAGAATGTAGGGAGTCTTCCCCTAGCACTCTGTACTTATTAAAGTGGTGTTACAGAAATTATTTTTTATCAGTTTCCTGTATTTGAAATATTCCCTCCCTCCATTTTTTTTATTTTTCTTTTTTAAAAGGAAGCTCAAAGACATTTAAGCTATAATGTGAAATGAGTAAAAATTTGGAGGGCATTAAGATTTCTGAAAGTGTTTGAAGATTGAAATGGTCTTACCCCTCCCGTTGGTCTCTTCCAAGGTAGCATGTATAACTTGCACTTCTAGTACCCACTGACCTTCCTTTCACCTGGGAACACTGTAATGTCTACTTGCTTTGAGTTTCTCTAAGTCACTATATTCTTGAGACTCTTAGAGAACTTTTGTCCTCCTATTTTTAGAAGTTTTACAGTAATGGCATACACTGCTATAGTTCTCTGCGATCTTCCTCTTGCTCACTAACCAGAGAGCTGTTGATACCAGGATGTCAGATGCAGACTGTTGAAAGTATTGAAATGTGAATTCTGTTTTGTTTTCAAAAGTCTCTTGTAAGTAGATGTTGTTGGTGTTGGGTTTTGATTTTTTTTTTCTTTCTAATCACTTCTTTCTTAAAAGCTTCATTTTTAAGAAAGTGATTCCGTTAAAATCAGGAGGAACAAGGCGAAGCTGTCCACTCTCTGCATGTCTCTTCAACATAGTTCTTGAAGTTCTGGCTATAGCAATAAGACAACAAAAGGAGATCAAGGGGATACAAATTGAAAACAAAGAAAGTCAAACTTTTGTTATTTGTAGATGATATGATAGTATATAAGTGACCCACAAACTCTACCAGGGAACTCCTACAGATGATAAATACCTTCAATTATGTGGTAGAATACAAGATCAACTCAAAAAAGTCAGTAGCCCTCCTACATACAAATGATAAGCTGAGAAAGAAATCAGAGAAACATCACCTTTCACAATAGCCACAAACAACATAAAATATCTTGGGGTAACATTAACCAAAGAAGTGAAAGAATTGTACAAGAACTTTAAGTCTTTGGAAAAAGAAATTGAAGAAGATACCAGAAAATGGAAAGATCTTCCATGCTTTTGGATAGGTAGG